TGCTTAATGAGCCTCTTGCTTCATGTGCTTAGTGATATGCTCCAAAACCCTCAACTACTTTCCCATATCCACATATGACCTAAACCCTAAGCCAAACTCGGTCCTACCGATTCTTCCTATCCGGCGCCACCGAGTTTCACTTGTCATTAGCCACTGCCAAACCCTAGCAATTCGGTTCTACCGATAAGGATCTCGGTCTCACCGAGATGGGGTTGCAAACTCTCTGTTTCCCTTTCGTAACTTTTCGGTCCCACCGAAAGAGCGAATCGGTCCCACCGAGATTGCAATGTAAACTCAGTGTTTCCCCTTTGTAACTTTTCGGTCTCACCGAAAGAGCAAATCGGTCCCACCGAGTTTGCCTGACCAACTCTCTGGTTAGCTAATTACCAAATTCGGTCTCACCGAGTTTGTGTAATCGGTCTCACCGAGATTACGTTATGCCCAAACCCTAACCATATCGGTCCTACCGAGTTGCATGTCAGTCCCACCGAAATTCCTAACGGTCACTAGGTTTACATTTTCGGTCCGACCGAGTTTATTGATTCGGTCCCACCGAGATTGGAAAACTGTGTAACGGTTGGATTTTGTGTGGAGGCTATATATACCCCTCCACCTCTTTCTCATGAAGTGAGAGAGCCATCAGAACACACACACCATTCCAACTCATATGTTCTGAGAGAGAACCACCTACTCATGTGTTGAGATCAAGACATCCCATTCCTACCATATGAATCTTGATCTCTAGCCTTCCCAAGTTGCTTTCCACTCAAATCTTCTTTCCACCAAATCCAAATCCTATGAGAGAGAGTTGAGTGTTAGGGAGACTATCATTTGAAGCACAAGAGCAAGGAGTTCATTACCTACACAACATTTGTTACTTCTTGGAGAGTGGTGTCTCCTAGATTGGCTAGGTGTCACTTGGGAGCCTCCGACAAGATTGTGGAGTTGAACCAAGGAGTTTGTAAGGGCAAGGAGATCGCCTACTTCGTGAAGATCTACCGCTAGTGAGGCAAGTCCTTCGTGGGCGATGGCCATGGTGGGATAGACAAGGTTGCTTCTTCGTGGACCCTTTGTGGGTGGTTGCTTCTTCGTGGACCCTTCGTGGGTGGAGCCCTTCGTGGACTCGCGCAACCGTTGCCCTTGGGTGGAGCCCTGTGTGGACTCGCGCAACCGTTACCCTTCGTGGGTTGAAGTCTCCATCAACGTGGATGTAGGATAGCACCACCTATCCGAACCACGGGAAAAACATCCGTGTCTTCAATAGCGTTTGAATTCTCCAAACCCTTCCCTTTACATTCTCGCAAGTTGCATGCTTTAATTTCCGCTGCCCATAAACTCTTTGCATGCTTGCTTGAATTGTGTGATGATTGCTTGACTTGTCCTAGAATAGCTAAAATCTGCCAAGAACTAAAATTGGGAAAAGGTTAAGTTTTTATTTGGTCAAGTAGTCTAATCCCCCCCCTCTAGACATACTTTCGATCCTACAATTAGAGTAGTGTAACATGTTACTGCTTTCCGTTATCCTATCCTGATGCATAGCCTGTCCTTGCTACTACTGTTGTTACCCTTACCTGCAATCCTAATGCTTAGTATAGGATGCTAGTTTATCATCAGTGGCCCTACATTCTTGTCCGTCTGCGGTGCTATACTATCGGGCTGTGATCACTCGGGAGGTGATCACGGGTATACACTGTATACTTTATATATGATACATGTGATGACTAAAGTCGGGTTGGCTCGAGGAGTACCCGCGGTTGATTCACGAATTGGGGGCTGGAAGGACATACTTTCCCGACGGTCCTCTGTGTGGATCTTTATGGCGAAGCGACTGGGCAGGTTGAGACCACCTAGGAGAGAGGTGGGCCTGGCCCTGGTCGGCGTTCACTGTTATTTCAAGATAACACATTTAGCGAGATCTTGGTATTTGATATGAGTATGGCCACTGACCTATACACACTAACCATCTACGCGGGGACAGTTATGGGTACTCGACGTCGTGGTATCAGCCGAAGCCTTCGTGACGTCAGCGACTGAGCGGCGCGCGCCGGATTGGACTGGAACGCCTGCTAGGCTAGGTCTGCTTCCGGCCGCGTTCGCAACATGCAGGTGTGCAAAGGGCGATGGGCCCAGACCCCTGTGCCATAGGATTTAGACCGGCGTGCTGACCTCTCTGTTGTGCCTAGGTAGGGCTACGACGTGTTGATCTTCCGAGGCCGGGCATGACCCAGAAAAGTGTGTCCGGACAAATGGGATCGAGCGTGTTTGGTTATGTGGTGCACCCCTGCAGGGAAGTTAATTTATTCGAATAGCCGTGATCTTCGGTAACAGGACGACTTGGAGTTGTACCTTGACCTTATGACAACTAGAACCGGTTACTTAATAAAACACACCCTTGCAAGTGCCAGATACAACCCGGTGATTGCTCTCTAACAGGGCGACGAGGGGAGGATCGTCGGTTAGGATTATGCTACACGATGCTACTTGGTGAACTTACCATCTACTCTCTTCTCATTCTGCAAGATGGAGGTGGCCAGAAGCGTAGTCTTCGATAGGAATAGCTATCCCCCTAATTCCGGCATTCTGCAGTTCAGTCCACATACGATACCCTTATTCCATTTGATACCAATGCATACATATGTAGTGTAGCTCGTTGCTTGCGAGTACTTTGGATGAGTACTCACGGTTGCTTTGCTCCCCCTTTTTCCCCCTTCCTATACCCGATTGCTACGACCAGACGATGGAGTCCAGGAGCCAGACGCCACTGTCGATGACGACTACTACTACTCGGGAGGTGCCTACTACTACGTGCAGCCCGCTGACGACGACCAGGAGTAGTTTAGGAGGATCCCAGGCAGGAGGCATGCGCCTCTTTCGATCTGTATCCCAGTTTGTGCTAGCCTTCTTAAGGCAAACTTGTTTAACTTATGTCTGTACTCAGATATTGTTGCTTCCACTGACTCGTCTAGGATCGAGCTCTTGTATTCGAGCCCTCGAGGCCCCTGGCTTGTAATATGATGCTTGTATGACTTATTTTTTTTGTAGAGTTGTGTTGTGATATCTTCCCGTGAGTCCCTGATCTTGACCGTACACGTTTGCGTGTATGATTAGCGTACGATTGAATCGGGGGCATCACAGGGCGTTTCCAGCATCCTTGATGAAAAGTTCCTGCACTGTCGGTGGTGACCACCGCAACTTCGGGGAGTAGCATCGCCGACGCTCCGTCGGACTGGTTCCAGCATCGATCTCGCTCCGCCGGTCCACAGGTGCATCATCCGAAATATCAAGAGGTTGCTCCCTCCCCTTGCAGCTCCACTGCATCGCGGTTCCAGCTCGCCGGACAACGGTTGCAACATCCCAGCCGCAGGGGTCGCCTTGTAGCTCCACTGGACCTCCAGCTCTTGTGGCCATGGTTTACAACTCCCCTCGCTTGGTTGCGGCACGACATGTCGGCGGCCATGTCGTCTCGCTGTCACCGACGCAGCAAATTGGTTGCCCGTAGTAGCAAAACAAAACCACGGTTGCAACTCCCGTGCATCACCATTGTAGCTCTAGAATACTGTTGTAGTTTTTTCCTGTGGCCGCCGGTCACAGCTCACCTTCGCGCCCCCACTCATCACGGATGTAGCAAAATTTATCACTGGTTCCAGCAAATCTAGATGCCCGTTCCAGCAAAAATAACTGCCACAGTTGTTGCTCACATCAGTTGTAGCAAAAAAAAATGTCCGATTACAGCATCTGGTGTGGTCGGTTATAGCAACAAAAGTTGCTGGTTGTAGCTCCAACTCTGGCCGGCTCCAACATCTGGTGTGGATGGTTGTAGCTTTTCTGGTGGATGGTTGTCGCTTTTTTGTGGACGGTTGTAGCTTTCCTGTCCACCGTTTTCAGCTTCCCGACGTGCTTCCTCCTTTGTCCCCGTCCTCCCGTGTTGTCCTCGCCGGAGAAGCCATGGCCCTCGCCGGAGGCAGGACGAGGAGAGAGACAGAGAGGTCCGCGGAGATAGAGACGGGGGAGAGAAATTGCAGCTCACGCGTAGCCGGATGTAGCTTTTTCGTCCACCAGTTTCAGCTCCCCGGCGTGCTTCCTCCTCTGTCCCCGCCATGCCGTGTTGTCCTTGCCGGAAAAGCCGCGACGCTCGCCGGAGGCAGGACAAGGAGAGAGGCAGAGAAGTCCGCGGAGATGAAGATGGGGAAGAGAAATTCAGAGACGAAGCATGCGCGGATGAGATATGTGTGGAGAAGAGGATAGGGGAAAGACGACTGCGTGCGGGCCCTTGTGTTACATGGCGTCCGCGTGGGTGAGCGACCGGCCGAATCGTTGGTTCGGCCGGCACGCCGTTATGAAACGTTTCCCTAATTATTTCTCTGATCTGCATAGAGTGGACGGACGGCAGACAAGTTAAAACAGACCAAAGCAGCAGGATTCCCGCATAGTTAAGTCCTTGTTAGCTGTGCTAATCTCCTCTACATATTTGGACGCCGGATCCAGATCTCACCACCCTCGTCTCTCACTCTCAGACTACCGTGCTCACAAGTCCTTTCGAGATCTGAAGCTCATAGGTAAGTCACACGAAGCTATCTTCTTTCCCTCCTTGACAATCGCCTGATAATTAGGTTGGGTGCTTTTGCATATGCATATGCTCTTCTCCATGGTCGATAACTTAGCTTCGAGTTTTTCACTGTTAAGTTCCTCATCGCACATCTAATCTCCCATGTTTATTCACCACTAGTTTTGCTGCGCTTTTATTAGATTTCAAAAAAAATATTATCGATTTACTCCACACATGCTTTCTGCGCACAATAGTCGTCCTGCTTATTGCCAAAAAATTGCCGTCGTTTACCATTCTTTCTACCTATGTTGTTATTGATGTGAACACTGTCACACAAGAGGCTATAATTCTGCCCTTCATGATTACTTGAGTAACTAGGAGTTGGGTCCCTCATAACTAACACTTCTACTCTTATTTTGAAGCTAGAACTAGGAGAAATGAGCTGGAGAGCATGCTACTGGAACTTTGAAGTGATAGTTGACCTAGGTTTAATCTTTTCTTCGAAGCATCTTGAGAGGCTAAAGTCTGTAATTTTTGGCACCGTGTTGTTATCGAGCAATACATTTTCAGGTTTGAGATCTAAGTGAAAAATTCGGCTCTCGTGAAGATAATGTAAACCCCCGCAAATTCCTTTGATTATTTGATAGCGCTCTCTACATTCAGGTATGATAACTTTTGGCTGTCTCGTTCATAACCACGGTTAATTTTGAAGCTCAAGTTGATACTGATAAGGCATATTGCAACTGCAGGATGATTGTGCATATGATATTCACAATGAAGTTCTCGAACGCGCATATGAATGAGAAGAAGTGAGAATATTCTCGAACACACATATGAATGGGAAGAAGTGAGGTTGAACGGATAAAGACATAGCACAAATATATTGTTTGAATGCTGAGATATTGTGTTCACACATAATGAAATATGGAAAGATACATCCAAAAAATCTGTGAAGACAGATGAATAAGCACCACTGCTCTGCTTGTGAGTATCTACCTATATGAGGTCTTCATGTCAATATGATAGGTAAGATCATGTGGGACGCAACATTGCATTCCATCTTTTATTGTTCAAGAAAAATATATCTATTTCAAGCACCTCACACATACAATTTGAAATTACTCACTACATTATTGTCTATTATGTAGTGCTTATGAAGATTAAAAGCTTCAATTATCCTAAATATGGAACTTCCTTTTTCTTTTTGTAGACGCATTAATCTGCATGAAGAAAGCGCTAACAAATAATCAAGGAATTTGCAAGGATTTACCTTATCTTCACACGAATTGTATTATTCACTTAGATCTCAAACATGAAAATATATTGTTGGATGACAATATGATGCCAAAAATTCTGAACTTTTGTCTCTCAAAGTTGCTTCAAGGAAAAGCAAAACCAAGCTATTGCTCGAAAACAGGGAGGCAGAATTGGAACTGTTAAAAGTATGCATAGAAAGAATGATAAAAGTATGATTCATTAGTTCTGCCGGTAAGTTTGTTCATGGCACATGACATGCTCCACTAGTCTTATTTAATAGAGTTTGTGTACATGTCCATTTTCACCTTTACTCCGAGTTAGGGGATGAGATCAAGCATCGTTGGTTGTTCATCAAGCACAGAAGGGTTCCAATGTGCTGCAGCAAGGCACACCTAAAGGTATAACTTCTAAGAACTAGCATGCCAAGCGAAAGAAAGAGGGAAGGTCTGATACAAAGGAAAGGGTTGCAAGACCTGTATATTTTTCTATACTTATAGAGGTGACACATGTTCCCTAAGGTAGGGTACGCGTCGTTGGTTAGCACAACACCACTATCTGGATCTTCTATAGGACGTCGACAATATATTTTGTTCATACAAGAATCAACTTGTTCCTAAAAAAACAAAGAATCAGATTTCCAGGAAAAACTGAAACTGCTAAATTTTTCTACTCTGCATCTTTGGGGATATAACGTGTTTGTTCAGTGACCAGTTTTGTAGGTTTTGAAGTTGGTTAATTAGAGTTGGAAACACTATTCCATATACTTTCTGTTGATGCCTTTTCTTGCTTCCAAATGAAGTTTGTCTTATGTATAATAAATTCCGGTTTATACCCCTTCCTGTGACATTTTTGACAGGAATTACTCTATTTAAGAGATTTTCATCCGTTTTAACCCATTTAAAGGAAATTGTGCCACATTTTACTTCTAATTTTTAGCACGTTCTGCTTCTCGGCTGTCGGTGTACACACGACACACCACCTGGGCTGTTTTCCTTGGCAGGCGGCAGCTGGTTTCCTCCACGTGGCCCTCCCACCTGCCTGGTTTATCCCAACTTGTGCCACTGCCCAGCATCTTTTTTTTTTTGGCTTAGGCCTTCACTTAAAAGAGTTTATACTACCAGTACCAGCACCAACAATCGATGTGTCTTTGGCTAAATTTTTGTTGAGCACATGTGTTCATCTACTTCGATGTGATTGATTTTTTTCTAGAAGGAGGTTTTACCCACGGGTTCTGCATCAGGTGATGCACACGTCCATTTTATTAAACAAAGTAGCAACGAAGTACATAGTTCAACACAAGTATCTATGTGTACAAGTATTGCTACGAAAAACTTAATCTCTTCAATTTATCAGCCCTATGAAAACAAAGTATATATGTGTACAATATTGCTTTTGTACTTGGGAGCTCATGGCATATAAGGCTGTTAGTCTAGTTTTGCGTGAACAGTTACAGGGAACTACCTAAAGGGTTCTAATTGATATCACTTATGTTACTAACCTTGATGCAGAAATGTTGGGAAACTGTTAGTTCGGTCTGATTGCCTATCGACTTCTTAAATATAACTTGGACACGCGCTCAGGTATCATTGTAACAAGCCCTCATATTTGTGCTTTCAAATAAATCGCTGTCCAGTTGTTAAAAGGGTACCATGTTTTCCACTTTTGTTACAGGGAACCTCAGGGGTGACGAGCCAGAAAGAAAGGGCCACCAAGGCACTAAAGATTGGCCCCTCTCCTCATACTCCTTGACAGTTATTCTCACTAGGATCAGTGTCACTAATGTTAGAGAAAGTAACATCTCCTCGACAACCCAGAAGTTTCCTGGTCCCATTCTTGACTTCCGTACGGCCTTGGTCTCAATTTTCTCACATACATCATATTGGAATGACCTTCCTGTTTAGTATAGGGGTTGCATTTTAAGATTGATAGGCTGCTACTCCCTCGGTCTGATTGCTTATCGACTTTGTACTAGCTCTAGTATAAAGTTGTATTAAGCTTTTTTTGAGCAAACACAAAATTGTACTAAGCTTAAGACACTTATTTTAGGATAGAGGGAGTTTTTTTTTCTAGGAACAATGTTGGGAAACTGTTAGTTCGATCTGATTGCTTATCGACTTAAAAAATATTGACTGCTACTTATACAATCTGTCGAGTGAGACTAATCCTCAAAAAAAAAGTTCCTCAAAAAAATTGGTTGCTACTTACACAATCTGTGAAGTGAGAAAGTTACATTCCGCATTGTGTGTGGTTGCTTCTTTTACAGGAGCGCGATTCCGACGACGACGTCTCCATCACTGACTCAACAAGTCGGGTGTAAATTGGCTGCTACTCCCTCCAGCGCCGTCGCTCCACCCCTCTCCCGCGACCCTCACCTTGCCGCTCCACCCCTCTCTCGCGACCCTCACCTTCTCCGCCAAGGGAAGGGAAGGACCCATCTGAAACCTAGCCGCCTCCTGGGTCGCCTCCGCCCGGGCGACTCCGGAGGATCCTCCCGCGTTCCCTCCACCCCGCTTCATTGGCGTGCCCCTGGCCAGCGCCGGCGGCATGGGCGGTTGTGGAGTCCACCCCACTTCATTGGCATGCCCCTGGCCAGCGCCGGCGGCATGGGCGGTTGTGGAGTGGTGGCAGCGAATCAAGGGCGGTGCAACCTGTAGCCGTGGCCTGACACCGGAGTGGCGTCTTCGCGGCGGGTGGTGCACAGCATCGGCACCAATCTCCGGTGGCGTGGTGAGTCGCCCCCTGCCATGGACTGTTTGTGGTCATGCGCTGCTGTTGCCTTCTCCGATGTTGCTCCGACCGGCGGTGTGGGGGCCTACTAGTGTGCTCGAATAAAGGCGGCGGTCCTAGGGTTCCTCTTGCGCCAAGACGAAGATTTGCATGACGCCTGTCCTTACTGATCTGGCTGGGGTGCGGGTTCCGAAAGGCTCCGCCAGCGTACTCCCATGGGTGTGTTATGCCTGGAGATTGCTGGATCGGGTGGGATTCGGCCGTGCCCATGGTTCTCCATTAAGGAGCGAGCGGTGTGAAGCTCTGCTATCTGTTGCCACCAGGAGATATGTTTAGCTCCATGGCGAGGCCGGAGGCGGAGAATGTCATGGAAGCCGAGATTGGAGGACTAGTAATGGTGATTGGAGCCTACGGTGTTGAGGAACTTGCTTGGAGTTTCAGGATTCGTAGCAGCGGTATGTAAGTGGGGGCGTCAACACAGGTGAAGTTCAAAGTCTTGCCTTTCAAGGTCAAAATCCAAGTTCTATTCTTAATTGGTTGTGCCTGGCAATGGCCTTGTTGAAGGCATTTTTTTGAGAGCGGAATTATCTCCGAGGCGAAAACCCAAGATCTACGATCGGGCGATGACGGCGTTGGTGCATTGTTTTCTCTTTGGAGGCGTCGCTTTTGAAGAATCTGGACATCAAGTGTTATCTTGGTGGTGGTTGTGCTGCTGCTGCAAGGCCTGGAACACTGTAGCTGGATTTTTTTTTAAGTTTCTTCTTCTTTTTTGTTGTGTGCATCCGTTATCTTATTAGGGCATTGTGTGTTCTAGAGGCTGAGTGTAATTGGTATTTTCGCGGTATTAATATATACTCTTTATTGAAAAAGACAATGCTAGAGTTTTTCGTGGCTGAAGCTCTGGCGCCTGGCGGTGATTTGGTTTTTGACCCTGGGCAACCTCAAGAATGACATGCAAGCCGGCACATCCATGTTGGTGCCTGCTCCTGGGCACATCCATGTTGGTGCAGCTGGTCTCCGCTCGGCTAGGGGTGGTGCCTCGCCGAACTTTGCGGAGGATTTTGTGCCTACTCCTGTGCTGCCATGCACGTTCCAATTGCAGTCAACCTGAAGTATATGCATAAGTTTCTCTTTGTTAGTTTGTTAGATTAGATTAATATATGCTGTAGTTCCAGATAAACAATTGTGCAAACACTTTTTCTCATTCTCATTATTTTGTCACATTCTTTCAATGCAACACCGGTGCGTTTAGTAAGAGGTACGCAATTAGCCAATTTAAATAAAGGGACAAAATTGCTGGCTGATTCAGTTTTCATGATTGGAACACATGATTAGAACACCTATTCGGAAACCTGGATATGCGGTCACGAGTCTAAAAGCTGCCTAGATGGAAAAGTAACCGTACTAAGCGTGTTGATGGGACGTTCATTGCTCTACCAGGACAGGCATCAACCAAACACTTCATTGCACGCTAGCCTGGTCAGGCAGAGAAACTCCACCATCGGGCGTCCGCACCAGGCACGATTGTGCCTCCAGGCAGGAGGGTCAGGACATGATCCAAACTAACCCTTTCCAAGGGCAACAACCGAACAACCGTCTGTGAGACTCAGGGACAAATCCGGGCTAGGAAAAATATGATGAGGCCCAAACTCCACCATTTGCCGTCCATACCAGGCATGGCTGTGCCTCCAGGCAGGAGGGCCATGACATGATCCAAACTGACCGTTTCTCGGCCTGACCCTGCTATCGTTGCAATGAAGCGCTTGGTTGATGCTCTGTCTCTCGATGCTCTGCCTGCCTCCTCCACTCGG